TCGGCGTGGCAGAGCAACACCGCCGCGTGGCCAACCACCTCAAGCGCCAGTTTGGTCGCTTCCCCCGCCGTGGCGGTGCGGGGACCTGGAGGCGGCCGCTACGAGCACTGGGCTCCGCTCAAGCACGACGAAGACGGAGCGGAGGCGGTAGCCAACACGCTGGCGCGCTTGGCCATCGGTGACCTTCCTCCCGAAGCTCTAGCCGCCCTGACCGCGGCGCGCCTCGCAGGCATCCCCAAGGCCACCCCTGGGGACGTGCGAGTCCTGGGCTGTGGGAACGTCACCCGCCGCATGGTTGGCCGCAGCGCGGCCAAGGTCAATCACGCGGACATGCGGGCGGCGGTGGGGGACCAACAGTTCGTCGGCCTGGCTAAGGACGGCTGCGGTGTCCTCCATCGACGCCTCTGTACGATAGCCAATTCGAGCCCTGGCAAGTGGGTGGTGACGGTGGACCTCGGGGATGCGTTCAGCAACATCCCCCGTGACCTCGTTAAGGAGGCCGTGCGCTCCAAGGTGCCCGCCCTGGCGCCGCTGGCGGAGGCCTGGCTCCCTGCTCGCGCACGCCGCGTGGCGGGTGGTGGGTCCCAACCTGCCCAGCTGGTCGATCAGATCCGCGGCCTCGACCAGGGCTGCCCTATGAGCCCTGGCTTCTACGCGGTCGGCGCTGCGGACGACCTCAGCATCGGTCGCGCGGCCGTGCGCGCGGTGGACGTCGAGGGGGACTGCCTGGCGTTCTTGGACGACGCGTACTTCGCGGGCACCGCGGCTGCTGTGTTCCGCGGCTTGGATGCCTGGCGAGCCCGCGTCGCAGCCCATGGGATGAAGCTGAAGATGTCCAAGACCCAGATCTGGTCCCCGGACCCTCACGCTGTCCTGCCGCCGGAGTTCGCGGAGTGCGACCAGTACCGCGTCCCGAAGCTCAAGGCGGCGGGGTCTACTCTGGCCTGCACAAACCACGACGTGGATGCTGATTGGCGGGACGTCCCGCTCACGGACTTTGCCGCCCCGGAGGACCTCGACGCGGGCGGCCTCGCGCCGGCTGGCGGTGCCGGGGTCGCCCCGGGCGCCGCCGTGCCACTCCCCTGCGGCGAGGCCTTCCTCCAGAAGCAGGACCGCTACTTCCGGGAACTCCTGGCGCTCCGCACGCACGGGCTGTCTGCCTTTGACGCCTTCCAGTTGGTGCGGATCTGGCCGAGGGGCGCCTGCGTCCACATCCAGCGCGCGCTTCCGTTCACGGCGGCGTGGGGCCGCCGGGTGGATGACGGAGTGGTCGCCTTCGTCAACGCCCTTCTGGGGGTCACGGCCGCCCCCCGAGAGCAGATCTTCATGAAGGTTAGCGACGGAGGTTTGGGCTGTGGCAGCGCCGAACAGCGCGGCCCCGCTGCCTTCCTGGCGTCCTGGGAAGCCGGGGTCCGCGCGGCTGCCCAGGAGCTCCGCGAGACGACAGCGGTTGGCTTCTGGCGGCGGTGGCTGGGCCTTGGCCGCGCCCTCTCGGCGGCGGACGCGGAGCAGGGACGGTTGGCGGGAGGCCGTCGCCCCCAGGGTGACCGCTGGCAGGGCCTCTTGGAAGGGCGGAAGGGCAAGGGCCAGAAGACGTACACCCAGCATGTACGGGGCCACGCCACCAAGACGTTCTTGGCCGCGCTGCCGGCGTCGGCGGCGGCGGCGGTGCACAGTGCCTCGGGCAGCTCAGCGGGCGCCTGGTTGGATAACTTCGAGGGGGTTTCGCCCCTCGCCGACCGCGCGTTCTGCTTTGCGGCCAAGAGGCGCATGCACTTGCCGCTGCTGCAGTCCGAGTGCACGTGCCAGAACCGGCCGGCGGCGCCCACTCGCGCGGTGGCGCAGGCTGGCGCGGCGTGTGGCCGCGCGGTGGACGTCCGCTGCGTTCGCGCGCTCAACTGCCCCCAGGGAGGTGGCCCGGTGCGCCGCCGCAACGCCATTCGAGATGCCGTGGCGCTCTGGTTGCGCGGGGTAGGCCATCGCGCCCTGGTGGAGCAGGTCATCCCAGAGTGGCACACGGAAGAACATGGCGCGGCCACACTGGACGTCGTCTACCATCGAGGCCTCCACGGCCGGGTGTGTCTCGGCATCGGCTTGGTGGGCGCGGTGGCCGTGGCCCAGACGGGGCGGCCGCATCAGGCATCCCTGCAGCTCAGGGAGAAAGTGAAGCACCGTAGATACCAATTTTCTGACCTGGTGCCCTTTGTTCTTGATGTCAATGGCCGCTGGGGCGCAGAGGCGGAGACGTGGTTGCGCCGCGCCGTAAGGGACTTGCCCGAGGCCGAGCGGCCCGCAGCGCGCTCGTCCCTGCGCTCGGCGATGGCCAACGCCCTGCAGGGCCAAATCGCCGAGCAGGTCGCCCTGGCGACGGAAGACGTAGTCGGGCTGGACGCCGGGGTCGCCCCGAGTGTCCGGTCTTGACTAGATGTGGCTCCCTCCCACACGTGTGTGCTCCCTGCTCCTTCCCCCCCCTCCTTGCCTGCCTGCTGCCCTGATCAGT